CACTCCTTGACTTTGTTATATCAATGAAAGTACAATTGATCACATGTACAACTTTAGTTATTGTCTAATTAAAGGCTCTGCTATACGTTTTTACTAATTTACCCCCAGGTTTCTGATTGGCTAGATTTGTTTACATGTTATCTTCTTTTTAAAATATGACGCCTTGGCTAGAGTTAGCAATAAAGTTAGAAGATGCCCTTATACTAAAATTTTGCAAGGAATTTTTTTTATTAGTGCACAAAAGATGGTTTCTTAGGCGAAATTTTGAGATTAATGTGATTTTTCAAAAATTAAGTGATTGTTTTTAATTTTTACGTTACACCTGATCCTGTCCTCTGATTGGCCAGAATCATGAAACCTGGGGTAAAATTAGTAAATGCCTGCTATACTATCTATAGTTATCTACCAATTACCATACCTAGGATCTGTTTGTAGATCTCCTATTTAAACTCTCTGATTGACTTAGTGCCGTCAGATACTTTTTCTAGAAGAATTCTTGCCATTAAGGCCCCTTAGAACTACTTTATCCTCATGGTAAACCTACCAAAATGGTCCATATTCTACATATATATCATCTGCAGTGTTGGGCAATATAGATATTTGGACTTATTAAAAAAATATAGACAAATATAGATATGTAAATTATGGACATGGACATATAGGTTTGGATATAGTCTAAATTTTTTAAAAAATATGAATATATATACCAAGTGCCAATACTGATCATCTGGGTTTTTCAGTAACTTACACCCAATCCAAGAACTAATACTTGCAGTTTTTATAATCGCTACTATTATCTACTTCTTGCTCTTACAAGATTTGTTCCGATTCTAATACCCACTTTTAACCAGTCCTTATACTGATCTCTTCCCAACTACTAAACCAGTTAGCTCGAAAGAGTTGTTGTATCTAGGCTCTAAGTACCTTCTGGTTTTACTTCCCTTGTTCTAAATTCTGTAGCATCAGATCTTTTCCTCCAGTGCAACTTTGGTAGCCAGGTTGGTTTGCCTCAGAGTTGTTCGTCTGGTTTTTCGGTCTCTAGTTCCAATTTTCTGTAGTATCGTCAAAGATCTTTACTACTTTTAGCTTAGATCTTGCTAAACAGGTTTCAAATATTCTGGTTCTTTGGATTTGAATCGCTCTAAAGCTTCTATTTTGAGATAGTAATACCAAGATTACAGGTGATATACTCAACTAATCATCAAATAAATATTACTAGAACACAAACCTATTTTTTGAAAAATATCTCCAGTAAGAATTGAGCTCTAGATCTGCCGCTTGGAGGGTGAGTTATATTGTATTGTTACAGAACATATATAAATAATGCTAAATAAGAAATTTAATAGAACCATAAAATATTCATAATAGAGTAACAAGATCATGAAGATATATTTATGATATTTTAATAATACAAAAATAAGAACAATTTAATTCAATTAAATATAAAAGAAATCAAAGTCTGATAAAACTTAATTAAAAGTTAAAATTCAAATCTTTAAATATATAATTCAATATATATAAATTAATATACTACTTAATTGTTGGGTTATCATTCTTTCTGCAAATATTACAAAACTCTATTAACCATCTTTTATTTATATTGCAGTAGTTATACTAAAACTTTTTGCTATTAAATATCACACTCAATCATATCTACTATATAGCATTTTGATAATAAATAAATGCTATCTATTTTTAAAAATTATTAAATTTTTCAAGCAACTATTTTTTTATAGCCAAGTTTAGTGATTCATTTAATACTGTTGGTATTTATTAAAACCAATAAGTTAATAGATTCAGCTAGTAAACAAAAAAATTCAACCTAATTCATAGTGCTAATAACAAATAACTTTAAATCTATAATCTAAGTATAATAAGGGTAGTGACAAATATTATATAATATCCTAAAGAGGGTAGCTAAAGATAATATTATATATAGATATTTCATATATGATCATATATAATGTAGGGAAGGGATACTCTCTGATAAAATGATATTACGTAATATATGTTATAGCTCTAACTATATATATTAATAGAAATATGCTATATATATATATAGAATATAAAATAGAAAATGAATAATTTAATGCTAAAATAAAAAAATATATCTATAAGGTAGTATAGTTAACAGATTTTTTTAATAGTTTTGTACTTGCTTATCTATACTGTGTTCATCTATTTTGTTATTATATATAGATTTAACATATTCTAGAGTCAAATTTATTTTAATACAACTTAATTTTAAATTTACATCTTTTTGAATTTAGTATATAATATTAATATTTTAAAATTAAAAAATAATTTTTTATTTTGAATTCTCGAGTTTTTTATAAAATAAAATATTAAAAATTCAAAAACAATAGTAACAGTTTTTTATAATTATTTAATACTATAGCTATATTCAAAATTTTTATAGTTTTAAAAAATAACTAAAATTTTTTTATGCTATCTAGAAAGATTAGTTGATCTAAAATAATTTATCCATATTTTTTTTCACTTAGGCAAGTCACACTAGTATCTTTTATTTAATAAAGACTAAATCTGTAGAAATATCGTAAATATTAAAATTAGAATCTGACATCCTGCGGTTGTCTCATATAATCTAACTGGTTATCTACATGCACCTACAAGTAACTATATTACACTAGCGAGATATGAACAATTAAGATAATACCCTAACTGGAAGCTTGTCTGACCACTGCTCTACAATAAGATATCACCAATCTGATGATGTCTTTTCGTAAAGAAGTAAAAGAAAAAGAAAATTTTTTATAAAAGAAACACAGAGGTATAAGAGAATACATAAAAAAAACAAATAAAAGAAATAAAAAAGTAAAAGGAATTACAAGAAAAACTAAACTAAATGTAAAATTTTTTACCCATACCAGACAGTCACAATTATAAGTCTGTATCATGCTTTTTAAAAATTACATACTACTATTTAAACTATTCTCTACACTAATTTATATACATAGCATATCTAAACTTAAAACCTAAAAAAAACAAAAAAAAGAGAAAGTTTCTTCGATGTTAGCACTATAGAGAGGTCAGAAATTCACACTGTTGAGCTCAGAGTATCATTTGTCTGGATTGCTACATTCGAGACACATAATCCAGTTATCTACATCCCTGTATTCACGTATTTGTTATGACAGGTAATAAATATAAACAATACTATCTGATTTGTTAAGTAAACAATACATCGATCTTTTGGAGGAGATAAACTAAATCGACTACTTTTTACAAAATCTTTTCTGAAAAAAAAGTAGAGGCTAATGAGAGTATATAAGGTACTTCTGTAAATTTTACAGTTGTATAGTTGTATTTTCAAGCTTATACTATTGCAGCAAGAGCCAATCCACTCTTGCTTCTAGAATAAACCTTCTAGTTTAAATACCAAATATCTCAGAGAGTTTGTTTCAAAAAAAGCACAAAACTTGATCCCAAGAAAAACTACTCAAATTACACCTGCTTCTTAGTATTTTACATCTTTCAAGCTTTGTCGACAGCAACCTGTTTAGAAGTAAGTTCAGTTTCCAGAATACTTTTTGGTTTAGATACCAAATATCTTGAGAAGTCTACTGAAATACAAAAGCTTGACCTCAAGAAAAACCACCCAAGTTATGCCCACTCTTTAGTGTTTCACATCTACAGGCTTTGTTAATAACTGCTTACTCAAAGACAGAACTGCAAATAGTATATTCTTGAACCTTTCTATAGTATTTTTCTGTAGTTTAATTTTTTTGTTGCATTGTCTAGAAGATTGTCAAGAAGAGTTGATTAAAATATTTATAATTTAACTATATAATACTAAAGATTTTTTTTAAATAATATAAGGGTTAAAAGTTTTATAGTTGCAAATAAAAAGGTTAATCTACATATCACAAAATTTTAGTAAAACTAACTATAGTTTTAAAATACTAAAATCTGAAATTATGTATAACCTAGCAAATTGTCTAGCTACTATTTTTTCATAGCAATATTAGGATTGTTATTGATCTTGTGCCCTAGTGCTATTAACCTATCCACTGTTGAAATTATAAATCTATCTATTATTAAAATTATTAACTTATTACTAAAATTATAAACTCACTTATTATTAAAATCATATCAATCTTTCTACTGTTATTATAAACTTACCTACTATCAAGATCACACTTATATATATATTGTTAAAATCACAAACAATTAAAATAAACCTACCCACTATTAAAATTAGACTATTTTTTAAGTCACGAACTAATTATAAAAATTATTACCTACTCACTACTAAAATTATAAGCTGCTAAAATAATAAACCCACCTACAATTAATATCAAAAATCACTTACTACTAAAATAATAACTCTCCTACTATTTGAATTATGAATTTACCTATCATTAAAATCACAAATTATTAACTATTGAAATCATAAATTCATTTACTACTAAAATTACAAACTAATCTTTAATGAGATCATAAAGCCACTTATTATTAAAACCGCAAAAATATAAACCTACTCATTTACTAAAATCACCTCTCTATTAGAATTAAGCTGTCCTAACCCAATAAACCTAACTCGCTTATTATTTTAGTATCTACAAAAAGATAGTGGTGGTTATATATGCTACCGAAATAGATTTTCAAAAAACCCCTATTTTGTCTCCATTAGAGCAATTTGGAATTTTTATATACAAAAGCAAATCTAATTTAGGTAGTTATATTTTTTATAATTTCATCTCTTTAAAAAAAGTATCAAAAAATTTTATCTTTTAAGTAAAATAGGTCAAAAACAATTTCGTCTTCAAATTTTAATTTCATACCCAAAATCTAAAATAATTTCGTTGGTATATATAGTAGTAGTAATATATAAAGGTTTAAATGAATCTATAAATATCAAAAAATAGAAGTAAAAAACTTTTTATTAAACTATAAATAGGTATGAAATTTAGGTAAATTTAAAAATTTTTTAAATTTTATAATCAGAACATAAAGCTTTTTATAGTTACCAAATTGAAATGAGAGATTATAAATCTGAAGCCTGTTCATATATGTAGTGACCAATTATATTGCTTGATAGGCTTATACTTTAAAGAGTCTAGTATAATGTACAGTTTGTCCAATACAACAATAGTATCTACCTCTATTGCAAAAAAAAAGAAATTAATTGACATGATCAAAAAGTTTAATACTAAAAAACTTATCAAATTTTTATTAGAAGAAATACAGCTAGATAAGGATGATTTAGATACTATCTATGAGAAAAAGGTTTCTGATCATGCTTTTATTAAGTTGACTAAAGATAAGCTTAAGAAATAGGAAATAGCAGATAGTCCAGTTTTAGCAACATTGAGGAATTCAGAGGCAGAGAGTGTAGTAAGTATACTCCCCTGTAGGGATTGGAACCGTTTAACTGTTTAAAAATTGCTCCATAGTTCCAGGTAGAATTATGTTGGTCGTGGGCCAGAATTATTTTAATGCCGGTCAAATTAAACAGTTAAACGATTAAACAATTAAACAATTAAGAAAATTTTAGGCGGTTCCAATCCTGACATTGATCACTGGAATTTTGATTTTTACATTATCTAATGATGATCATAGCCACATATGTACCTTATTCTTTTAATAAGAAAAGTAAACTTTGAAGTTGTTCAGAATAACGATTTGTATATATTCTAAGATTTTTAAATAAAATTTTATTAACTCGTATTTAGCATTTTTGATCAAAAAAATTAAAAATAAAAAAATTAGTATTAGTTCGATGCATTTTTAAACCCTATTAAATAATAGTTGGTTTTAAAATATGTTATTCTCTGTACCCAAAAGTATATAGGATTAAATTCATAAATTATCAAGTTTAATTAAGATATTTGATCAATAAAAAAACTGCAATTTTTGTATCTTAAAGTTCGTTATAATAAAACATTATAAAATTTGTATTAGAATAGCTTTAAAAAGTTAATCATATATGAATTAAATAATGTATACTTAGATATTTTATTTTGGAAGATTTTTAATAAAAATTTTATAATGTTCTATTATAACGAACTTTAATATACAAAAATTGCAGTTTTTTTTTGTCAATGTCTTAATTAAACTTGATAATTACAGAGAACAACATATTTTAAAACCATTATTTATAATAGGGTTTAAAATGCGTCGAACTAATACCAATTTTTTTTATTTTTATTTTTTTGATCAAAAATGCTAAATAAGGGGGATGGCTAAAGCCAGGTATATTACGAAAATTACCTGATTGTTTCGATTTTTAATTAAAATTAATTAATATTAGGGTTGGGTTAGATTAAGTAGTTTGTATAGTAAAATCACATTTCCGACACTTTTACTTAGTGAACCAAGACTAGTTTAGATAGCCGTTTTTTATATTTTTCATGTTTTTGTCTTTGCCGTTTCGCTTGTTTTGTTCGGACTGATCTGGATTATATATTAGGTAATCCCATGATGTACCTGGCTTTAGCCAGCCCCTATATGTGGCTATGATCATCATTAGGTAATGTGAAAATCAAAATTCCGGTACTCCTTTAAGTACCTTCTATATATAGATAGTTTGCAATCCCGTTCCAACTAATAATTAAATATGATTAGTGTAATACCAATTACTGATAAGAAAATATTCTGATTAAATATCAAATAGAAACTTTATACTTTTTTAATTAAGTAAAACTCAATACATTAAAAACTAATGATTCTATATTACAACACAAAGTTAACATATGAATCGGATGTATTATAGTCTGCTTTTGGATAACCCTATAAAAAAGATTGTGTGAAATTTGTACATATAATATTCGTGTTGAATAGACAGAATGTTATTTTTTTTAGACATTTTTCATACATTTAAAACAAATATTATACAAATATATACAGGGTGTTCAGAAGTTTCTATACATGATCTCTATTTTTTTATATGACCTTATATATAGAAATCACGATAATTATTTATGCAAATATATAAATAATCATAATGAACTCTATATAATATATAGAGATCATTATGATTATTATATCTTTACATAAATAACTATTATGATTTTTATTGATCTCTATGTATAAAATCACATAAAAAATGGGGACCATGTATAGGAACTTTTGGGATACCCTGTATATAGAGCAAGTTAATTAACAAGAATGTAAAACATTATGTTATAAAAACCGATCAAGAAAGATCATTATATCATGAGAATCAATAATTGTCTATAGATTAGCATTTTATAAGATTACTATACCGAATCAAAACCAAGATTTGTGTATGAATACAAACTTCAATACACTTGTTTCACTATGTTCCTGGTATAATATCAACATATTCAATATTAATTTTTGATTGAATACTTACCCAACATGTTTGATGTGTTTAATTTGTGCAAAATTTATAAAAAGACTATTGAAAAATATAATAACAGTTCTAAATATAAATTAACTTTAAATAATTGTCTAGAGCATAGTGACAGACTTATACTTCTATGCTGTTTGATAACTGAAACTACATTTTTAACACATTTATAGTAAAATTATCAAAAACTTAGTTTGTGTATTTTTTGAATGTAATGTTATGTACTTTTATTTGAATATTCATGTAACAAAAATATATTACATGTTTAGTAGCCAATCATACTAGCAGAATCATTTTTGATCTTTTTTTATTTCAATCTTTTTTTTTTTATTTCAATTTTTTTTTTAATTTCAATCAATTTTTTTATTTTGATCTTTTTTTTTTACTTTGATTTTTTTTTTTATCTTGATTTTAATAAATTTATTATTTTTAATAGCATATCTAAATTAATATTAGGTAAGTACTGTAATTTTATTGCTTTGCTTTTTTCTTACAAGTTAGGAACCGGAACTGGTACAAAAAGATAAGTACTAGTTCTTTTTTTGATTTTTTTGATTTTTTTCAGTTTAGTTTTTGTTCACTAACAATTTTCTTTTGTAGGTTCATGTTATATTAGAGTACTAGAATAGCATCTGAAATAGAGATTTGAGAACTAGAACTGGTACAAAAAAATAAGTACTAGTTCTTTTTTTTGTTTTTTTTGTTTTTTTCAGTTTCTTTTTCATTTCACTAACAATTTTTCTCTTGTAGGTTTGTGTTATATTAGGGTACTGGAATAGCACCAGGAATAGAGATTTGGTAACTGAAACTGGTACAAAAAGATAAATGATAAGTACCAGTTTTTTTTGTTTTTTTCAGTTTATTTTTTGTTTCACTAACAATTCTTCTCTTGTAGATTCATGTTATATTAGAATACTAAAATAGTGCTAGGAATAGAGATTTGGAAACTAAAACTAGTACAAAAAGATAAATACCAGTTTTTTTTTTTGTTCTTTTTGTTTTTTAATTTATTTTTCATTTTACTAACAATTTTTCTCTTGTAGGTTTGTGTTATATTAGAGTACTGAAATAGTGTTAAGAATAGAGATTTGGATTTTTTTTGTTGTTGCAAATTTGGTGCTTCTTTTTTCGCTATTTTGTTGCTAAATTCAGTACTTCTTCATCACTGGTGTTGTCGAGTTCAGAGGCTCTTTATTGGTTCTTCTTTCATACTGGTATCATCAAATTCAGTGATTCTTCTTCATTGCTGGTGTCAAATTCAGTAGTTCTTCTTTATTGCTAGTATTGAATTTGGTAATTATTCTTTTGTCGCTAATATCGTTGAATTCGGTTTAAATTTGGTGTTTTTTTTTTACTGATTCTTTTTTCGTCTCTGGTGTTATCAAGTTCAGAGATTCTTTTTTGGTTTTTCTTTTGTACTAGTATCGTTGAATTTGGTAGTTCTTCTTTGTTGCTAGTATTATTGAGTTTGGTAGTTCTTGTTTCGTCATTAGTATCATTAAATTTTGGGTTTAGTACTTCTTTTATCGTCTATTTTGGTATTTTTTATAGTTGTTGAGTACTCTTTCTTTGACATGAGTAAGTATTTCTTGGCTGTTAGTATCATACATTTTAGTATTTTTTCTGTTGTTAATATTTTTTTATTATATCTATTATTATAATTTCTGGAATATCTGATAAATATTAGCTGAATGATTTTTTATTGATTTAATAAGTTTGTAGTTGTGAAACAGGTCAAATTGGTTTTTAGATTAATTGGTAATTCGCCAGTCAGCCAGTAAGAGGTCATAGTATAACGTGACATGGTTTACTTATAAAAATTAAAATTTTGTGAATATGGGCTGCATTATTCTAAAACTTTTTTTTGTATCTTTGGGCTTCTAATTGAAGTTGTAAAGCTCGTTGAGAGGAATCTAATGGTAGTTAAATCGTCAAAATCGGCCTTGTAGATCATAAGATATCTTCGAAAAACATTTCGCTGACTATGTAAAATTCTCTTGGTGATACTATTGTCAAAAGAGAGAATTTTACATAGTCAGCAAAATGTTTTTTAAAGATATCTCATGATCCACAAGACCAATTTTGATGATTTAACCACTATTAGATTTCTCTCAACGAGCTCTACAACTTCAATTAGAAGCCCAAAAGTAGTTAACTTAGTAGAAAAAAAGTTTTAGAATGATACAGCCCACATTCGCAAAACTCCAATTTCTATAAGTAAACTGTGTTACATTACACTATGACCTCTTACTGGCTGACTGGCAAATCACTAATTAAGTTAAACTTGACTCAAGTCAAATTGATTACTAGCAGAATTTTACAAACTAGAATTGTGATGATGCAGCTAGGTTTTTTAATTAATCAATTTGACCTAGATCAAGTTTAATTTTGATTTAAAAACTAAATTAACCTATAATATATGTATATAGCATTTATTAATTTATGTCTCACTTTTTTGCATCTTTGATTGGCCACAGATAAATCTCACTCCTGATTAGACAAAACCATCAACATCATACTTTTTTAACTTTCTGACTTCCGTTAGCTCGATTTGTCTTTAAAGGTTCTGATTCTGCCTACTTTATACAAATAATAATCTACTTTTACATATACTTTTTCATTTCATTTAATAATTTTTTTTTTATTTTTTTTCTAATTTCTTTTAATCTTAATTTTTAATTTTTTTTTTGATTTTTTTTGATTTTTTTTTTTGTTCTTTTTTTTTTTTTTTTTTTTATTTTTTTTTTTTTTTTTGGTTTTTTT